GTTTTAAATAGTGACTGTGATTATTTTGCCACTAAAATGAGCCTGCTCGATACTAAATAGTTGAAATGAACTGAAACAGTTAAGTTGAATTTAGTTTTAATTTTTTTCAAATTCCATATTCTTATATATCATAAGTTTACTATATATATATATTTCATGGGTGAGAGAATATCTAATTATATAGCAAATTGCGGTATTGTTACATCAAGAAAATAACTTTTAAAATAAACAAATTATGATTTATAATAAAATCAAAATACTAAAATTGAACACTAAATGGAAAAAATATGAACTTACATTTCTATGTTCGTTAGGAAAGGCACAATCTAATTTCAGTGGTATTCGTTCATCAAAGTATACCTTTTGCACATGCTCGTTATTCTCCTTAGGCGAGGCCATTTTGGGGTGCTCTAAATACGTTTGGGAAAAAACTATCAAACCTTTTAGCATGGCTTATAATTTAAATATATAAGCAATGCTAATACGATTATTTTACAAATTATAAAAGCTATTTATTACGCAATATTCCAGATTTTTGAAAATTAGAGCACCCTTCAACTTTCCCTTAAAGTATAAGCTAATTGAGCGTCGAATGAATTTATTAAATCACTGTTTACAACCAATTAGAGTGTCAATTTAAGTTACCATATTTTTAAAATATTTTAAGTTTAAAATAAAACACCGACAATAATAGTTTTCAGCATCGCAGCCACGTTTAGATCAATATTGATTTCAATATACTCATACGGAGTTTTCAAAAAAAAGAAACATTGCAAACCACATAAATAAAATAAATGTGAAAAAATAATCTCACCAAAGTGCCTTTTAGTTAGAAGAAGTGGGTGGGAATGTTTGGGGTAACGACCTTCTACTTTTTTGTAGATCACTTTAGGACTGTTTTCAGGAGTAGTCAGCCCATAACCAACTTCAAGTGCTTCCATCATAAAAGATACGAGAAAGGTAATCCACAGGGTCATTTTGCGGAGGGTATCATTGGTGAAATCTTAACGCGATAAGCAAAATAAGAACAAACAAGTTGATATGGTGTCTTTTTGAATATTTCACTTGAACTACTGTTAATTCTTCTCATTGGTGTGTTTGCGAATAAAGCAAGGTGAGCCAATGGCCAATAAAAATCTTCCAACGGGTGACTGCAAAACATACACATTGAACAGTTAAGGAAAACAACATAAGACTATCAATTTTTGAAGCAAGCAGTAGATCTTACTATTGCTGTTATGATTTTAAATGCAACTCCGATTCAATTAAGGTGGTGTGTCCGAACCTTCTTAATTAAACAAATGCCATCTAAATATTGCAAATACCTCAGTTAACTATTAACTTACAATTTTTTTATAGATTTTGTGATAAGAAACTTCGGTTGCTTCTCACAATTACAGACTATACTACCTTTTTCCACTGGGCTCGACATTAACAAGTGGAATATTGACTGGGAAGATTAAAAAACTGTTTAATTCAAAGCTCTCTTCATTGCGCTTTCAAAATAACTTTTAAAAACGGCTTTGAAAAATGTTCATAAGTACTCTTCCAGTGTTTTTTTCTTCAGAGATTTAAACAATCGTTCAATTCTTGTTTACATTTTGAAAAAAAGAAGTTTTTTTGCATATTTGCGCTCAGATGCAAAGCAAAATTTATTTTAAATGAACACAGAAATTAAAATAAAATAACAGGAGTTTAATAAGTTAAATTAAATGCAGGCTTTTCTATGAGTGCAAAGAATATTTTCTGATAATGAATTAAATAAAGCGAGCCATTTTCTGCAAATGAATCTCCAAATTTCAATTATTCTTCTTTGCAAATGAAAATATCTGCGTTGTTCTCGCCTTCATCGCCTGTAAATACGTTGCTACCGTTTGCCTAAAAAGTGCAAAAATCGTGCCTCTAAGTAACATTTAAAATAATTTAAATTTTGCACTTTTTAACTAATTGTGCAGATATCATTCAAACACTCTTGAAAGGCGTTTAAGAATGCTCAATGTCAAACGAGCATTGGAGTTATAAAACCCTGTTTGCAAGCATGAGCTTCACACGTTTTAATATTTCGACTAAAGGGTGTGTGTTAGACTTACCTCTTCGTGGTGCACCCTGGGCAACGTATACTCATACGGCAAAAAAGTCTATAATTCGGCAGTTGACTTCTCACTTCGGACTACCATGACCCCACTGCATGCCATATTCGACCTCCACACAGTACTCACTTTACCTTTTCTCTGCCTTTGTGTCTGTCTCTTTTACATCTGTAAATCACTCTTCTGTTCCCCATCAATCGACTTTCTGTTACTTTGATGTTCCTTCCCCCTGTGAAGCCCGAAGTCAGATAAAGGGCTAATGATAACTATCAAAACGCCAGACATTTGAAATAAATAAATACCAAAATGGTACATGGACTGAAAATTCAAACATACTTACTATCAAACTGGATATAAGAATCTAAAAAACGCAAAATTTTCTATCAAATAAAGCAATGAACAATACGAATATTGTTGAAGAAACCTTCAACTTAATTGTTTTTTGAATGATTTGGGCATGAATTCTAAGCGCTTAGAAAAGAAAGCCATAAAGTAAAAGAACACATACTTCAAGTTTTTTAAATTGTTATAATTAGTCTTCGACTACTTTTATTTGTTAAACCCGATTTTTTAATACTTTTAATTAATTACCAAACCGTGCCGTATTCATATTTCTTCTGTACCCAATCAGATTTGTGATGTGTTAATGTTTTATGATTCCAGATTTTTACATTTGCACTATTCCTTATTTGGGCAAATTTGGTATACGATACTTTTACAGACCATAGATAGTTAAATGGATGATCCGGTTTTGGTATGTTGATGAAGATTACTGTGACATAGCCTTAACTTCACTGGATTGTACATCGTACATATTTTGTATCTGTAGTCAGTTACGGAGCTCACAGAAGCTGAAATTCAAGAGCTTCGTAAAACAGATGCTTGGTTACCCTCTGAAACCACTCGGCAATGCCTCTTAGAGAATAATAAATCTGTTTCAAATTCGACAATGCCTCGAATTATCGCTCCCCCTGCTCCAATCGATATTACAGATCCTCTGAGACGTGAACTGACAATCCGATATCGTTCTGAGTCGAAAGCTGACTCAATCCGCCCTGTTATTACTGCTGATATGGTTTCTCAGGATACCGATGGCTTAATGGACCTAATTGTAAGTACCTAAAACCGGCCTATCTATTTACGCTTTTCTCATCTTCTAATATGTATATTTTTAAATTTAATTATTTTATTTTCAGCGCTACTTTTTATTCTTTGGTTTTTGATTGCAAAATTACCGTATGTAATCTTGCTTTGTTATGCTTTATCATGATCAAGTGATAAATTGATGAATTAGTTCAGACTTGCGTAATGAAATTATGAGCAGCCTTGTTTACGTTCTAACTGTCCTGAATATGAAATTGGTGACGCTGAATATAGAAAATGGGAAGTAAGTGCAATTTCCTAATAAATATGCTTTATGAATTGTTTTCAATCCAATAGTTTATTTCCATGTTATTCAGACCCATGGTTTAGTTATTAATCACAGATCTTAGATGTGAGGACTCGTTGTTCTTTTAGATAGAGTTTATTGAATGCGATTTCTCCTTCCATTTGCCATTTCTCTCTCAAATTGTACCTATCCATTTGGATCAGGATAATCTTTGGCCTCGCCCGTGGTATGATGTCCTCACAACTTGGTGAATTTGATACATTTGGACTTCATATCAACACTATTTCTTACACTAATAAAAAAATATACATGCTGTTTTGTTGTGACACAAATCCACTGCCCCAGGTTTGCCGAATGGTCTATCTTTTGGTACCTCCACGTCGAAAAGCTGGCAAATTTGAACACGTCTCTTCAAATAATGTTCAGAAAGGGCTGTTTTCGGTTTTGTTAAAGGAAATGAATTGTCTTGAACTGAGTGATCTTCCTATTCTTGGCACTACAACCCTTCCTCCTATCTAAGCATGTCTTTTGTCTTCTTTTCTACAGCGTGGACGCTGGTTTCACGCTGCA